AAACCAAAAAAAAACAAAAAATCATCAAATTGATTAAAAATAGTTTTTTTAAGAGTTTTTCTTGAAACAAAAATTAGGACATTCGGAAACTGACTCGTTTCCCTAATACTAGAAGCCAAATTAAATCTAGAAGTAAATTATTTTTTCATTTCTGAAGCGTTTTAGCACGTTTTTTAGTTAGAAACGTAAAATATTTTGTAAATCATAGAATTAGGCCGGAAATTATGTCATTTTTGAGTTTTTCGAGAATTTAATGGGATTTTTAAGCTGAAAATTTAAGATTTTGCGTTACCAACTCAAAAAAATCATAAGAAAAAATTATATTGGATTTTATTTACGAGTATTGATTTAGTTTACAAAAAAAAACCTAAACTAGCTACACTATTGGAAAGATTTAAATTGTAATTTTTCAATCAGGTGCAAATTGGGTAATTTTGGCTACTTTTTCGACTCGAATCTGGTGAATTTTATTTTTGTGAGACGGCAATACTGTTACAGTTTTTTTGGTAATAGGGCCCGGGTAGCTGTAGGCTTTAACCCAATTTTGGGCATTTTTCTCAAGGGCGCGAGTCCTGGCGCACCCTGTACTGCTGAACCCTTTTAAAGATTAATTTTTTGTTAATAAAATTTTTTACAAACAATTTAGTACCTCACAAAGTTTTGAATTTAGTGACTTACAGAGCAGTGTTGCCAGATTTGAAACATTTCACAAAATCTGGTGATTTTCGTGAGTCTTCTTTAAAAAACTTAGCAATAATTTTTCGAAAACGAAATAGCATTTTTCAACTAGAAACTTAATTATTTCGACAAATTAAACAAAAAAAATCGATAAAATCATCAAATTGATGAAAAATAGTTTTTATTATATGTTAATAAATATATTTTTTTAACAATTTAGTACCTCACAAAGTTTTGAATTTAATGAATTACAGGGCAGTGTTGTCAAATCTGGAAATTTTCGTGGTAGTCTTCTTGAAAAATCTTTGCAGTTAACCCAAAAAATCGAAAAAATCATCAAATTCATTAAAAATAGTTTTTATTATATGTTAATAAATATTTTTTTAACATTTTAGTACCTTACAAAGTTTTGAATTTAATAAATTACAGAGCAGTGTTGCCAGATCTTGAAAAATTTCACCAAATCTAGTGATTTTCGTAATAGTCTTCTTTAAAAAACTTGGCAATAATTTTTTGAAAACGAAAAAGTGTTTTTCAACTAGAAACTTAATTATTTCGACAAATTGATTAAAAAAAAAATATTTTTAAAGAGATTTTCTTGAAACAAAAATTAGGACATTTGAAAACAGACTCGTTTAGGTCAAATTAAATCTAAAACTAAATTATTTTATCATTTCTAGGGCGTTTTAGCACGTTTTTCAGTTAGAAACGCAATTATTTTGTAAAATCATAGAATTAAACCGAAAATTATGTCATTTTTGAATTTTTCGAAAATTTAATGGAATTTTGAAGCTGAAAATTTGAGATTTTGCCTTACAAAGTCAAAAAAAATCACTAAATGTTATATTGGATTTTATTTATGACTATTTATTTAGTTTAGGGTAAACTAGCGACTCTATTGGAAAGATTTAAATTGTAATTTTTCAATCTGGTGCAAATTGGGTAATTTTGGCAACTTTTTTGACTCGAATTTGGTGAGTTTTATTTTTGTGAGATTACAGTTTTTTTGCTAATGAGCCCGGGTGGCCTTTAACCCAATTTTAAGACAACTTTTTCACATTTCTCTGAGCGTTTCCCCCCGACAAAGTCGTCGAAATTGCCAAATTGGGGTAGGTAACATAGATAAATTGCTGTTGTGTTAGCTTAAAAGGATAATTGTTATCATCCCGTGGCTTGATAGCAGTCTCCGCACTCGCACGACACCAACTGGTAAGTCGTTATTATCATTTCGCTTATTTTCACACCCAATCGTAGCAGAAAAAAAATGAACGAAACCGCCCTCCCCACCACCATCGAAGACGACGATTCCAGTGAAAACTTCTACGAAAAACAAGTGCTGAAACTCACCACAGTGGCGAGCTTCTCCTCAATCCTCGCCAACATCCTAATCTCAATCACAATAATCAAATTCAAGAATCTGCGTCGCGACGTCACTTATTCCATCATCCTCCACCTGGTTCTGGTCCAGATCGTGAGTCTCGTCCTCGACGAGGTCCTTCTGTGGTTCTTCACCTACTTTGGCACCCCTCTGCCCCAATACCACACCGAATTCTGCATCATCTTCGTCGCTGTGCGAATGTTAAATGCCATTTCGTTCCTAATTCTAATTCTTTTAGTCTCCAACTGGTATTTTAAGTTATTTTCTAATCAAAACAAATATTTAAAGTTTGCGAAATACCACGGATTGTTGCTGGCTTTAATATATCTCGTAGCTGTTGTTTTGTTGCCCTTTTTGGCGAAACTATGCCTGAAAAAGGACGTTTTTGCGACTTTCTACGTCGTTCTTTCGTTCCAAGTCCTCATGATCATCGCCTCAATCACAATGAACATCGTCAACAAATGGAAAAATCGACAATCTTTCGATAATGACAGTGGTTTAGGTGTTGCCAATGTCACGATGATTTTTTGCACTCCGGCTTACCTTTTTCTAATTTTAGCTTATTTAAACGTAATTCCGGTGTACATCGTCCTGTTTGCTGATGTCCTAGCCACCGGAGTTTTCCCATTTGTGCTGTTTTATTTGTACAAATATGACCGGAATTTTCAAATGTACTTTAAAAAATTGTTTGTTTGCCGACGCGGATACTCACAGACTGAATCTGTTTCGTACAATCTCATCAATAATGTAGACCCCTAACCAAAAAAAATGTATTTTAGTCGTAGCATTTTGATTATTTCATTTAAAAGTCTTTCAAACTTTTTACAGGATAAATATCTGCTTCAAATTGCTCCGCCAACTGTCTGTCATTTGTTACCTAGCAACGAGCTTGATTGGTTGTTGCTTAGTTACTATCTAAACGTCAATCATCGTTACTTAGCAACAAGTTTATTTGCGTTGTGTGCAATTCGTAGCAGATACTATGTACTTAGATGAATTTATGGCAAATTTTGTTCAATAAAACTATTTGTCTCGTAAAATATTTGCAATTAGTCCAATTAAGCCCTCTCCCATTTTGTGATCTAAGTGCATTTATCTAGTTGCTTCATGGTGTCATCATCACTTAAGGAATTCATTTACATTTTGTTGTTTGGTGGTGTTGGAACAACGTATTTGAGGTGAGTAGTGATCAAGGGCGGATCCAGGGGGTCAGGGCCCCCCAAACTTGCCACCAAAAGCTTCAATTTTTTATATTTAAATTTTAATATAAAAACATTAGAATTCTTTTTAAATCAAATTTATTAATACAAATACCGAGAGATCAAAATAATTTGTAATCGAGTCATTTTTGGATCCGAAAACGTACAGTTGCGGAATTAAAATTTCGGGCAGTACTGTCATTTTTATAATGTAAACTCTAAAACAATTTTTATATTAATAATCTCATTTTTTACTCTTGTCATATTTATGTTATTTTGACTTATTTTCTTTCAAAAATGGTGACTTGTGGCATAATAACGGGTAGTCAGCAGATCAAAGCGATGATTTAATTACACTTAGTTCAATTAATATCTTTCCTAAGACTGACAAATTGTTTAATTAACAAATTTAACAACAAATAAAAATAAGTTTAATTGTCAAATGTCAGTCATGATGACAGTAAAAGGTAGTTTACAGTGAACTTTTTAATAGGTACTGTCCGAATTTTTAATTCCGCAACTGTACGTATGTCTGTTTTTGAACCAACTGCACGTGAAACGTCAAATAAAATGACAAGTCGAAAACGGCAAAATGGGCTGGAATTAGTCACCCACGTATAATAATAAGACCGTTCTTTTTTGAAGGTAAATCATAAATTTAGTTATCTTTTTGATCATGGGATTTTACCTTTCCACTTGTCATTTTATTTGACGTTTCACAGACATACGCACAGGACATACGTTTTCGGATACAAGGACAAATTATCTTGATCTCTCGATACTTACTTAGTTTTTACTAATTTAAAAAGAAATCATCAATTGTAATTTTCTTTGGGCCACATCTTAGGTATCTAATTAAATTAAGTTTATATCTGTCTGAATAATGAACTTTACCAACTCGCTAGAACACATTATACAGAATTTTCAACTTGTTTTAAAATTCTACACTTTTTGGTTTTTGGGTAATGACGGTAGCGACATTTTTTTTTAATAGAAACCCCTAATTTTTTAGCGAATTCGATAGTTTTTTAATTATGGAAATGGCAACACCAAAATATTGTTACATAAAATTCTCAAAAAAAAAATATCCAAAAAGTGAAARAATATCAATAAAAAACAAAGATAGAATTTTAAATCAAGTTAAAAATTTTGTATTTTTTAAAAAGAAAATTGACTTGTTTGAGCATTTTTTCAAAACAAAATATTTTCAGTTTTAATAAAGAAGATTATTCTATAATTTTGCCGCTCTCTGTATACTCATCATTCTAAAAATTTTTTAGATAGCCCCCCCCCCCAAAATTAATTCCTGGATCCGCCCCTGGTAGTGGTCTCTGGTTCGATTTTGGCTAAATTGTGTCCAGATGGAGGGAAATGGTACCATGGACCGGCTGGAGGGCCCATCGAACTTTATTTTGGTTCCGGCGGTCATCGCCATCCTTTGCGGTACCATCGCCGATATTTTGATCATTGTGGCGACCATCAGGACCCGGAAATGGTACTCGACGTTCAATTTGTACGTGATGAATTGGTGCTTGTGCGATGCCCTTCTCATGGTACTCCAACCCACGACTTACATCGTGATTTTTTCGGTTGATTTCGTCGAGCGCAATTTTTTTTGTATCTGGATGGGGGAGATTGTGGTGGTGACAATAGGGAATTTCATTTTTGTGGCTGCTTTGACCCTTGATTGGTTTTTCGCGCAATATTTCGCGAATGTTTCAACGAAAATTCGGCGGTTTAGTAAAATCCAAATTGGGGCGATTTGGGTCGCAATTGTGGTTCTTACGATTTACATTTGTTGTAAATGTATCATGAACCAGGCCCATGTTTGGATTTTTTCAGTGACAACAGTCTCACTTGTCATGTATTTCATCATCCAGATTTTGTGGTTCATTAAACGTAAAACTGGAACAGGGAATGAGAAATCAAACCTTGCCATGGCCCTAATTTCGTGTTATTTCCTGTGTTGGTTCCCGAATTATCTGATCCAAGCGATTCGGACCTTCGAGGGTTCCAGTGGCGGTGGTTCCGTTGAAAGTAACGTCGTTACATCCCTTATTGGTTACATGAATTCGGTCATAATGCTTCTGTTACTTTACTACGGAGATGAGGAATTGAAGAATGGTTTCAATACTTTGTGCTCTCGTCAAGTGGAGGAACCCGAAACATTGGAAGCAAAGTAGTGAATAAATAAATGCTTTATTGAAAATTTGGTGTTTTATTGAAATTCCCCTAGAACCCAGAACCTTGCTATGGTTCTAATTTCAGATTAGATGATTCAACAAAATTTGTTGTGTTTAAATAATACATATTTAATAAAATTTCTTACAAAATCTTTTTTTTTTAATTTTTTGGTACCACTGCTGTTCGCCGTATTTCATTAATTAAAATTTAATACAAAATGAATTAAAAAAGATTTCTCCCCGACACGGACATATTAACTGAATTAACCTATATATTAGACAAGTTTTGTCATGTAATGTATAAAATACAGGGCGATTCAGGAAATATGACTAATCTGCTGATATTTAGTGTGGCAATAAAATTTTGTTTTGATACTTTTTTTTTACTTTTTTATTTTTAATATATTCTACAGACTAACAAAAATATGAGAAAAAATTGACGCCACCTCAACTTATTTCTTATTTTATTATAAATTTTTTAAACATTTTTTTAAATTAAAACTAAAAATATGAGACAATTTTTTCCAATTTTATCAACTTTTACTACTTACAGGGTGATTCAAAAATGTATTGATTTGGTGTCGCTGTCTTAAAAAAAAATTAAATTCTCAAGAAATAAATTTTTACTATTTAAATTACTCTACACAATAATCGAAAAAATGCAGTCATCTCAACTTACTCATCCTTTATATTTTTTAGACTTTTTTTAGTCAAAATTTCATAGTTTATGAAATTTTATCAACTTGTGATTCAGATTAGATCATTCAACGAAATTTGTTGTGTTTAAATAATACATATGTATTAAAATTTCTTCAAAATCTTTTTTTTTTATTTTTTGGTACCACTGCTGTTCGCCGTATTTCATTAATTAAAATTTAATACAAAATGAATTAAAAAAGATTGCTCCCCGACACGGACATATTAACTGAATTAACCTGTATATTAGACAAGTTTTGTCATGTAATATATAAAATACAGGGCGATTCAGGAAATATGACTAATCTGCTGATGTTTAGTGTGACAATAAAATTTTAATTTGAAACTTTTTTTTTACTTTTTTATTTTTAATTTATTCTACAGACTAACAAAAATGAGAAAAAATTCGTATATGCGCTTATATATGCACGCATTTTTACAAAAATATGCACGAAATATTAAGAAATATGCTCCAATATATGCCAAATATGCATCGATATGCAAAATTTTTAACAATAAAAAATCAAAGTTGAGATAAATTTTTATCCTCGAATACACTAAACTTTGTATTTTCGTCATCTTGAACTGCACACAATAAATGAAAGAATAAATTAATTGGTTTGGCGTGAGACAAGCCATTTTAATAACCTAGTAATTAACCCTTTCTAAAAAATCTGTACTTTTCGGATCACATCACGTTTTTTGTCTAAAGTATTTATTTTTTGAAAAAACTAATTGATGAATTATAAAGTTCTATAGAAATGTAATGTTTTATCAAAAATAAAATTTTCAAAATTTTTATTTTTTTGTTTTTGAGTTCTACAAAAATATTTATCTTTTTAAATGGCAACCCAACAAAAAAACATTTTTCCCTTGAAGGTCAAGATCTAAGGGATTACAACTATCTACTTTATATTAAATTATTTTTTTACATATCTATATCGCAATTTAGACAACAAAAATCGAATAATACAAAAACAAAACAAAATTCTGTTCGTAAAAAATAATTTTTTTATATTAGTTTAATTTATATTAATTATTATTTTTTGGAAACAAATGATTTAAAGAAAAACCGCTTAGTTCAATACTTTATATTCACCCAGTATAAAACGAATTTAAAAAGAAAACTCTCAGCAGGGAACTAATTTTTTGAGTTTGGCTTACGAATTACCGGTTGTTTTCTCTTTAAAATATTTTGTAATCGGATTATTTTTCTTAAACTGTCCAATTTTTAACTTGAAATCTTTAATCGGAAATTAGTGATTTGATGAAAATATGCACAAATATGCAATATTTCTAAAATATGCACCAAGTTCCCAAAATATGCATTGTTTTTAGCTTATTTTAATCAAAAAACATTAGATATGCATAGAAAACTTACAATTTTGTTGATATACTTCTTAATGACAAATATGCATTTTGCATACCAGGTGAATAAAAAGTATGGAACCAAACGTTTTTTCCTTAAACTATTTATTTTTTGAAAAAACTATTGATGGGTGATAAAGTACTATAAAAATGTGATGATTTAACAAGAATAAAATTTTGAAATTTCCTTTTGTTTTTGAGTTCTACAAAAAAAAATATTTTTTTAAATGGCAACCCACTATAAAATCATTTTTCTCATAAAAGCTATATTCTAAGGATTGCAACTATCTGCTTTATATTTAATTTATTCAAAAAAATTTTTCACATAAATTGCAATTTTGACAAAAAAAACGCATAACTCAAAAACAAAATAAAATTTCATTCTGAAAATACGATCACATTTTTTATATTGCTTTAATTTATATTAATTATTATTTTCTGGAGGCAAATGATTAAAAATAAAACCGCTTGGTTGCATACTTTATATTCACCCTGTATAATCCAAGCCTTACAGATGAGGAATTGAAGTGAAGAATGGTCTCAATACTTTGTGTTCCCATCAAGTTTAGGAACCCGAAAAATTGGAAGCGAAGTAGTGAATAAATAAATGCTTTATTGAAAATTTGGTGTTTCATGAAATTCCCCTAGAAGATTTTTAATTGGCGCAGTTGAGCGCATAATTAAAAAGTATTTGCAGCTGTATTCGAGCATGAAAAACAAGTCCACGTTATATGATGTAAACTTTGTCGTTAATTAGATGAGTTTCAATGAGACGAAGCTTATTACAAGTTGAATTCAATAGCAAAACAGTTACTTTAAATCGCGTTGCAAACTTTCAGTCACTTCATTATCTCGGGAAAATCTTGCAATTTAATAAATTATTCACACCGGGATTCTTTCTTAATTATGCACGAATTTTCTTGTCGAAACTTGTGATTCTAGTGACATTAATAACTTTGACGGTAGCTTTATTACATTTTTTTCATTCACCAATGAAAGAATTATTTGACACGCGGGAATGCTGTCAACATGTGTATTTATATACTGGGATAAAAGCATTCGGATGGAAATTTTACACGGAGATAAATCAGAAAAAGGATCCGTGAAATACTATGTGTCGCTCTAGAAAACATAATTACTTTTTCAGACGTTATTAATTTTTAACTCAAGCTGTCTCCAACAACACTATTTTTTGTAATAACTACGCAATTCTTGTTTATTTATAGATCAAAAATTAAATAAAACCCTAGATGACAGGTGTAATAAATAGGGCTCGGATTAAATGCAAAATGCATATTTGGTATTAAGGGGTATATTAACAAAATTGTAAGTTTTCTATGCATATCTAATGTTTTTTGATTAAAATAAGCCAAATAAAAAATGCATATTTTGGCAACTTGGTGCATATTTTAGGAAATATTGCATATTTGTGCATATTTTCTTCAAATCACTAATTT